GAATCAGTTGTGCAGACACCCCCACCGTGCAACTCAGGAGCTGTCAGAGGCAAGGTGGCACGCGAGAGGAAGTCAGGAGGAACGGCGGGTGTAAACCCCGTTACAGAACCACAGTGGCCTCTGCTGCATCCTGCCTATTGCCTCAGCTCGCAGGTCTTCCCTGCCATACCATGTTAGTGGGTTACTGTCTCTTATTCTTTCAGTCATTTTACCAGTATTTACTGAGTACCTCCTCTGTGCTAGGTGTTGGCTATGCAGCCATTGGCCAAACAGGGGCCCAGTTCTTGTAAGATTTATTTCCTTGGTGAGAGTTGGAGAGAGCAGATGGACAAGAACTTAAATAGACCCATGGGCTGGCCCACCTGGGGGGTCTCAGGACCCGGAGGCTTGTGGCCTCTCCCTAGCAGCCTGTTTATTTCTTTTTCTTGTGCTTAGGTGCACACCAAGGGGCCCTGGTAGCACAGTGGTTAAGTGCTCAACTGCTAACCAAAAGGTTGGTGGTTAGAACCCACCCAGCAGCTCCATGGGAGAAAGACCTGCTGATCTGCTTCTGTAAAGATTGCAGCGTGGGGCAGTTTTACTCTGTCACATGGGGTCGCCATGAGTCAAAAATCAACTCGAGGGCACCTAACAACAACAGGAACACACTAAGCTTTCCTCAGGAAGGTATCTCTACTGCTCCTGACCCTCCTTCACAATCTGGATTAAAACTCACTTTGATAAATAAAAAAAAAAGCTTTTTCAGATTAACCCCACCCTATCCTCCTCCACCTCCCAGCAGTGACTTCCAGGCCCTGTTTTGTAGTGTTCTTTGGCACATGTGGGAATGGCCGTTTCTCCGTGCTCTTTTCTGATTTCTTGGACGCCCCTGCAGGTTTGGCTTTGGGTTTGTGGTTTGGTTTTATAGGACATCGTCCCACGGTTCTCAGTTCTGCTCCCTGCAGAGGTTGCTGGTGGAGAACCGGAGCCTGACTGAAGGTAGCAGGAGAGGACCAGGAGAGAAAAGGAGGACTGGCCGTGGCAGGAAACGCTTCATGCTTTGGCTTCACACATGTGTCTTAGAATATTGCAAGGGCTCTTGGAAACAAGGGAAGTTGAGATCCAGAGAAGGCCAGGGCTTTGCCCTGGGCCACATTGGGATTAACAGGCTGAGCTGGGATTAGAATTTAGAAAATGTAAAAATTGCAGACTACAACTCACCCCGAATTGTCATTTAGGTATCTGAAAATGTTTCAAGAGAACAGAGAAAGTCTAAACACTAAATACCTGAAGGCTTCAGACTTTCTCTTGTCTCCAATGAAGCTGCGAGATTAAGTCCAGGCTCATGAACTCCAATAGTCCATCCTATTAAAGCCTTGAGGGAAATGTTGCTGTGTCCTAGTTTGTGTTTTCCTTTACTGTCCTTCTTGAGGTGGTTCCCTGAATGCTAATGTTAGGACATGTATTGAGGAGAAGCCAGCAGCTCCACTTTCAGTTAAGTAAATCTCATGTGGTCTTTTAAAAACCTAAAAGCAGACAAAAATAACAGTAACAGCAAAAACATAATAAAGCTGGGAAACAGCTTCTTCTTTTTTTTCAAATAATTTTTGTTGTTGAGAATATACGCAGCAGAACATAACACCAGTTCAACAATTTCTACATGTACAGTTTAGTGACATTGATTACATGCTTCAAGTTGTACAGCCATTCTCACCCTCCTTTTCCAAGCTGTTCCTCCTCCATTAACACAGACTCACTGCCCCCTAAGTTTCCTGTCTAATCTTTCAAGTTGCTGTTGTCACTTTGATCCCGTATAGATAGTTCTTAATAGAGCCCAATGCTCAGGGAAGATACTCTTTACTAGTTAAACTAAACTATTGTTTGGTTTTAAGAAGACTTCAGGGGATATTTTTGGTTTAAAGATTAACTCAGGGCAAAAGTTTTGTCAGTTCATTCAGCCTCAGTGGCTCCAGAAAGTCTGGATTCCATAAGAATTTGAAATTCTGTTCTGTATTTTCCTCCTTTTGATCAGGATTCTTTTTAAAAAATAGCTTCTTTTTCACATCAAATAATTACTTTTAGAAACGGCCTGTTTCTCCACCATCTTCCCCAGTCTTCACCCCACCCCCAGGTCCCAGGAGCCCAGGGCCTGGGAGTTGCTCAGGAAGTGTTTCCAGTGTGGGCTGAGCTTTGCTGCAAGGTCTGGGGTTTTCTCTGTAACAGACGCTTTGCCACACAAGAGCATTTAACAGCCTGTGCCGGCAAAGGAGCAGTTTATCACCTTGCTCCCAGCCCACACAGGAAGAAGAGACTAGACCAGCTTGTTACAGAAATGAGTACAATTCACTGTGTTTGTTTCCTGGCTTGGCTGAAAATTGTGATGCTCTGCCTGTGAGGGATCTGTGAAAGACCAGCCTTAGGGAAGCCTGTGTGTCAGCTTTACCTTTCTCTGAAATGAAGGCATGAGCCGCCTCCATGCCCTGTGCGCTCATTGACTGACATACACTCACAAGTATTGAGTGTCCACCACATTCCCAGCGCTGTGCGCACTCTAATAGGTACAGTCACCTCCACCTGCCTTATGATCTTTGTAAACTGCAGGGGCAGGTGGCTGGGTTCTAGCTCTGACTCTGGGCTTACTCAAGCCCGACAAATACAGTGGGTAGAGGACACTAGGCTGGATTAGTGGTTTTTTAATTCTTTGGGTGTGTTCTGGAAGCTTTTTCCAAATGAAATCTTAAGGGGAATCCCAGTATGTAAAAGATGAACCACTGTGGTTGAAGCTGAGGGTGGGGCCCATTCCTTCTCTCCTCCACTAGTCCCTGAGGCATCTCCTGGAACCCTAGGGCTCAGAGGAAGGGTCTGGATACCAGAGACTTGATGTATTCTAAGGCTTGGCATTTTATTTTATATTTCTCTCCTAGACATGTTCTTCTTTAGGGTAAGAACTGTGTCTCATTGGTTGTTTTACCCTCAGTGCCTGGTGCTTAGTTCCAAAAACAAAAACAAACCAGTTGCTGTTAAGGTGACTCGGACTCATGGCGACCCCATGTGTTTCAGAGTAGAACTGTGCTCCATAGGGTTTCATTTGAACTAAGAATCTATGGTGTTTGTAACTTTTTCTCTCAAGTCTGCCCATTACCATGCCATAATTCTCCTGTCCTTAGCACACACTTTTTATTTTTCTAGTCAGAACCCTGGTATAAGCTGTGCGTTAACTCTTGACAAGTGGCAAAGTTCCCCTGATAGATACACAGCAGTGACTTGCTCATGCCACGCCTGAGACACTTTCCAGTGTGTTTTTGGTGCCCTCCCCACCACTGACTGTGATCAGGTTAGTAACCTTTCTACAAAGTGCAAGCCCAATGAAAGGTGTTCTCACTTAGGGCATTGCTTTCCAAGGGCTCCTCCAGCCCAGGAGTCCCTGTGCTCTGCTTTCTTCCCAGTGCCCAATGACTTTTTTTTGTTTTTCTTTTTTAATTAAACTATAGTTTATTTTTGAACTTGTGTATGTTTAAATATATTTGAATTTCACCAGTTTTCCATTAATGTCCAGTATCCAATACAGGCTCCTGCGTTGCATTCAGTTGCTGTATCTCTTTTACCAGTTACCAGTTGCTGTCCAGTTGACTCTAACTCATGGCGACCCCATGTGTGTCAGAGTAGAACTGTGCTCCATAGGGTTTGGGTTTTTTAATAATTTCTTTTATTTTTGTTGTTGTTAAGAATATACACAGCAAAACATAACACCAGTTCCATAGTTTCTACATGTACAATTTAGTGACATCGATTACATTCTTCAAGTTGTGCAACCATTCTCACCCTCCTTTTCTGAGTTGTTCCTCCTGCATTAACGTAAATTCACTGCCCCCTAAGGTTCCTACCTAATCTTTCGAGGTTACTGTTGTGCATTTGATTCCATATAGATAGCTCTTAAAAGAGTACAATGCTCAAGGCAGATATTTTTTACTCGTTAAGCTAAGCTATTGTTTGGTTTTAAGAAGACTTCAGGGGATTTTTTGGTTTAAGGTTTAAAGATTATCTCAGACCAGTGACCTTTATCTCAGGCCTGTCCTAAATAAGTGTCTCAGATGTGTGCTTATCTGATTAGAAAATAATTTTTTCTCAGATATCAGTGTTCAGCGTTTCCATTCTGATTTTTTTGTCACAGAAAGAGTAACAGTTGACATGACCAAGGAGTAGGGATGCTTTATTAAAGAGAGGTGCGGCCCAAATTGATTATTGTGAAGTAATGCAAGTTCTGTTTACAAATATGCGCTATTCTCAGAGAGATTATGTCATTTGGAATAATACAAAGAATTTGTAGTTGGAAACATTTTCCTCAAAAGTTAAAAATAAGTAACTTTATTCTGAGAAGTTTTAAACATATGTGAAGATAGAATAGCATGATATTCTCGTGTTTTTTAGGTGGTTTCAACAATTACTGTCTTGTGGCCGATCTTGTTTCATTGAAGCCCCTACCCACTTTATCGTCTCATGTTATTTTAAAGTAAATCCTGGACAGTTTATCATTTCAACCTTAAATATTCAAAACTTAAATTTTCAAACTACTATATTCTAAAATTTGACCATGCTTTATAGCTTCAGTGCATTTCCCTCTGAATTTTCTGAGCTACTGTGATATACAGCTTATCTTTTCAGTGTCACTATTTACAGATATTAGCAAATATGGTTGCATAGTGGTTAAGCGCTCAGCGGCCAACCAAAAGGTCAGGCGGTTCGAACCCACCAGCTGCTCCACGGAAGAAAGATACGGCAGTCTGCTTCCGTAAAGATTACAACCCTGGAAACCCTGTGGGGCAGTTCTACTCTGTCCTCTAGGGTCGCCATGAATTGAAATCAGCTCGATGGCAGTGGGTTTTTTTTTGGTATATATTGAAAATATATGATAATATGTATTATATGTTTTTTATATAGTACATCAAGTCAGTGTTTTGTGTAGCATATCAAGTTCAGTATGGAAGGTTTGAGGGACTGACATTTGTTTGCCTTTCTTTCAGATTTAATTTACTCGCACCCAAACGCTTCTGCAGAAAAAGCCAGAAATGTCCTCGCTGTGGAAACTGCCCCTGGAGAGCTGGTGGGAGAACAAGCTGCAAGTCAGCCGGCCCCAGGGCATCCAAATTCCATTAATTTCTCTTTGAAACAGTGGGGCACCGAGCTCAAGTGAGTCTTTGAAAACCGTATCTAAACTGGAAGTGGGTTATCTCTGATGATATATGTTCTAATTTTATATATGAAATTATAAAACCACCATGCATTTGTGAAGGTCTTTGTTGTTTACGATGTTATTATTTTAACCTGTAAAGAGCGCTAGTATGTACCTGATAGTATGCCACACTCTTTCACAGTTAGGGTTTAATTTAATTGCTCAACTCTATGAGGTAGGTCAAATGGTTGACATTTTTAGAGGTAGAAACTGGCTCAGGGCGAGTACCTGCCTAAGGTTACGAGGCTCCCAGGGGGCCAGCGCCCTCTCCAGGATACCAGGGCTGCCTCACAGTTGTGCTCCAGATTTCCGCCGTCATCCTCGCTTGTGCGAGGATGTTGTGGAGGTGTTTTTTGTTTGTTTAAATGGAAACTTTATAATTCATATACCAGATAATTTACCCATTTATTAAAGTGTACAATTCAGTGGTTTCTAATATGTTCACAGAGTTGTGCAACCATCTACACAGTCAATTTTAGAACATTTTCATCACCCCGAAAAGAAACCCCATACCCATTAGCAATCACTCTCCATTCTCTCCTCTCCTGCCCCCAGCCCCTGGCTACCACCAGTCTACTTTCTGTCTCTGTGGATTTGTCTATTCTGGATGTTTCCGAAAGTTAGAATCATACAATATGTGACCTTTCTGTGTGTGCATCCTGCTTCTTTCACCTAGCATAATCTTTTCAAGGTTCATCTCCGCTGTAGCGTGTATCAGTACTTCATTTTTTTTTTATTACTGAATAATATTCCATTGTATAGATACACCACATTTTGTGTATCCATTCATTCATTGATGGACGTTTAGTGTCTTTCCACTTTTTGGCAATTAAGAATAATGCTGCTGTGAACATTCCTATGCAAGTTTTTGTGTGGACTTATGTTTTCATTGCTTTTGGGTGTATACCTAGGAGTGGAAATGCTGGGTCATGTGGTAACTGTGCTTAACCTTTTGAGGAACTGCCAGACTGTTTTCCAAAGCGACTGCACCATTTTACATTTCCCACCAGGAGCATATGAGGATTCCAATTTCTCCACATTCTTGTTAATACTTCTTATTATCTTTTTTATTATAGCCATATAGTGGATATGAAGTGGTATCTCATTGTGGTTTTGATTTGCATTTCCCTGGTGGCTAATGATGTTGAGCATATTTTCATGTGCCCATTGGACATTTTATATCTTCTTTGGAGAGATGTCTATTCAGATCTTTTGCCCATTTTTTAGTTGGCTTATTTGTCTTTTTATTATTGAGTTGTAGGACTTCTTTGGGTGGAGGTGTTTTTACTACTCTTTAAAATGATCCGCTTGCTAGCCACAGAATCTCAGGACCTGTGGCTTAGATTAGAAAATGAGAATTAGTAGAAAGGTTGTAGTGCTGATGCTTTGTGGGAAACTTGGAAGTTTCTTCCTCTAGGGCCCAGTGCATTGGTCGTTGTGCAGTTGGCCAACTAAGCCTCAGTGGTGGTCCCACTGGATTTTTCGGGGGCAAGGTAGCCTTGGAAGCTACCATCCAAGGATGCACTGTTACAGAAAATGGCCTTTTCCTTTTACCTCTCTCTCTTTTGTGGTTGAATTCAGTTTGACAAAGAAATTCATTCTCTGTGTGTTTTTAGTTCTAAAGACTAGTGGATCTGAGTTGCCAGCCTTTTGGTTAGCAGGCAAGCTCTTAACCACTGCACTACCAGGGCTCCAGGATAAGACATCAGGTTTTTAAACTTCAAATTGGTATGTTACTGAAGCTGGATGGGATGTGGCACGGATGGCAGGGGTGCCCACACCTCAGAAGCCCAGCACTTATCTTCTGAGGGAGATTCCCATCCCCTGCAGCAGCTGTGCTGGGCCCTGACTGCTCCCCCTCCTGTCCCAGCTCCTCTCCACCTGCATTCATTCATCTTCTTCAGACAGAGCTCGGATCCTGCCTTGGAAGTGTTGCTGATGGCCCTCAGGCTGCAGGGTCAGCTCCAAGCTCCTTGGTCTGACTTCTGAGGTACTCTACAGTGTGGCCTTAGTCTCCCCCTGTGTGACTGTTTGCCCATGTTCTCATTCACTGAGCCTCTGTGTTCTGGCCACTCTACCTTGCTCTTCCACCCAGGGCCTTTGATCACTGTGGCCCTTCTGTCTGCTCAAGGTCACACAGCAAGCGTGGCAGAGCTGAAATGCACACCCAGGTCCTTTGATTGGGAGCCCACTGCTCCTTCCACTAACCCAGGTCGCCTTTCATGACCAGCTGTCATGGGGGACTATTGATTAGCCAGATTTTCATACCTAACCAGCCTCTTCAGCCCTCAGAGTTGAATAATGGAGTAAGATCAAGGCTGACCTGTAGCATTGGGCATTTTCCCTGTGCTTGAGTTCAGTTCAGTTCCCAGCTGTACCACTCCACTTACTAGCAGGGTAACTTGGGCAAGTTACTTAACTCTCTGTGCCTTAGTTCCTCATTTGTAAATGAGGATAATAATTGGGCATACTTCATGAGATTAATATGAGGATGATGAGTTATGGTAATATGTGTAAACTGCTTAGAACAGTGCTTGGCATTTAATAAGTACTAGATGAGGGTCAGTTGTTGGTGCTGTTGGCATTGTTGGGGGAGGCACAGCTCATGTGCATCAGGCAAAGCCGTCCTCCACAGAGGTCCGTGGGACCACTTCTTCTGAAACCATAATGCTATTGGCATTAGGCATTAGGTGTTTATGCGTCTTTGTTTTCATTTTTTTACTTATGGCAGGGTTTATGAAGGTTTAAGTAAAATGCTTTAGGTGCAGAGAGAGACTTTAATGATCATAGACATAGTAAAAGAATGTTTTAGTCCTGTATTATGAATTAATGGCTCAATAATTTTTTATGCATTCAAATGGTTCCACAATTAGAGTACAGTCAGGGCTGAAAGGATAATTGAATGCTTGTCTGCTATGCTTTTATTCTGTTTACCAGTACAGTTGAAATTCTTTTCTCCAGCTTCCACTTGGCCAGCTCTCCTGATTACCTGACATTCTAAATTCCATCAGAGCCATAGTCTGTAGTGACCACATGAGGCTTACGGGTGACTGCAGGGAGCCCTTGCCCCAGCCAGCTGCTACATACTCAACAAGAGTCAGCTGGATTTGTCCTAACTGGTTAATGCCTGTTGTACTTGGTATTTTAATTACATAATTTAATGAAATAGTTAGTAAACCCATAAAGTGTAAAAACAAATTGTTGTTTCTGTGAAAAATAAGTTGAATGCTTAAGGAAAATTTGATAAAGGTGAGTCACTGAAAATAAGTGCTGCCAGGATGTGGGTGAAACAAGCTGTGAAAGATAGACAAAATTGTAAAGATGCTATTCTTAGATTGTTCCACTGTTCTCAGTCTTGTTCTACTTTTTAAAGAGAAGCAACACAAATTTGGAAAAGTTAGATGATGGCTTATGGATGTGAATTATGTAAGAAAGATAACAGGGAACTGCAGCCCGTAGCCCCAGACTTGAAGAAGAGGCCTTTCCTGCCCTGCATCCGTAGACTGGCAAATCACACATTCATATATACCTCTGTAGGAGCATGTGTTTGTCTTAAGTTTTGTTGTTGTTGTTGTGCTTTAAGTGAAAGTTTACAATTCAAGTTAGTCTCTCTTACAAAAATTTATACATACATTGTTTTGTGACCCCAGTTGCTCTCCCTAAATTGTGACAGCACACTCCTCCTTTCCACCCTAGATTTCCCGTGTCCATTCAACCAGCTCCTGACCCTCTCTGCCTTCTCATCTCGCCTCCAGACAGGAGTTGCCCGTTTAGTCTCATGTATCTACTTGAGCTAAGAAGCACACTCTTCAGAAGTATCATTTTATGTCCCATAGTCCAGTCTAATCTTTGTCTGAAGAGTTGGCCTCGGGATTGGTTTTAGTTTTGGGCTAACAGAGAGTCCAGGGGCCATGTCTTCCGAGGTCTCTCCAGTCTCAATCAAACCATTAAGTCTGGTCTTTTTTGTCTTAAGTTATTTTTAAATGATTTCTTGCTTTAACTAACTTTTTCAGTTAGCCTACCAATAGTCCAAATCACTTTGGGTGAAAGAGAGAGATGTCTTATAAAATGCTGGCAGGTCCACGTGTTTGAGTGTGGTGTGTGCTCAGGGCGTAGGAGGGTGAGTGCAGTAGCAAGAGTGAGAAAGTGTTCCTGAGCACACGTGTGAGCATGTGCCCTGGAGCCTGTGTGTTTGCACATGAGTGTGCATGGGAGGTGTGTTTAGGCTGCAGCCATGCGGTAGGTTTGTATGACAGTGGCGAGCAGTGCTCTGTGGCTATGAGCCTGGACTCTGAGTCAGCCTCTGTCTGGGTGCTGGTGCCTGATGCCTGAGTGGCGGCTCCCAGGCTCCAGCACAAGTCTACCTCTGCTCAGGAGTGGGGTCATGCTGTGGCTAGTGTTCTTTGCAGCTAGCTTGGGTTTTGGAGTCCCGGTTCTTCAACGACCCTGAGCTTTATTTTCTCCATTAGTAAATTGGGGTGTGTGTGTATGCCTGTGTCTGTATGTGTGTGTCTGTGTACATGTGTGCATGCATGTATCAAAATACCCCCTTGGAAGGGTGTGAGTGCTAAGGTAATAAATGAGAACTGCCTATCACAGTGTCTGGCTCTTTGTAAAGGCTCAATAAATGGTGGCCACGATGATCCACTCCTGGTGCTGTTGCTGCCACTGTCATTACCCCTTCACCTTTGAATCAGTACATTAAGCCAGTCTTTACTTCCTTATCTGCCAGGTGGAGAAGGGTGCCTTTCTCAAGGGTAGGTGTGTAGATGAAACTGGCTGGGAAGTGCGCTCACCCTTCCAGGCTCGCCTCTGATGTCTTCCGCTGGCCCCGCTCTGGTCCTTTGTTTTTGCTTCTCTCTTGACCCCCCTCAGGCCTGGTAGAAATGGCTACTTGTGTGTGGCTGGTGTTCCCAGGAGACTGATTAGGGTCTTGCCGTCTAGGACTGTGCATAGC